GTGAGGTATACCTTTAATTTTATCTTCAAAAATTCATTGCTGGTAATAACCTTTTTCAAAAATGTATTTCTGGTATTAAAACCCATTTTACACTTTCATAGTGTTTAGACCCCAATTTAGGGGCTCAACTATTTGTCCATCGCTTGCACTCTAACAGGTGCTACCAGCCGGGGTCAGGTGTGTACCTGGGAACACCAGCAATTAAGAAGTGGTTCCACGCTCATCAAAACCTCCTGATTAGAGACCTTGCTGTCGGATGTAGTTTATCGTCTTACCGAGGAGGCATGGTGGAATAATGGATAGCGGCTCGGATTAAGGAATCGGAGATCCGATTTCGAATTCTAGTCGAATCCATTACAGTCACTTACGTTGGGAAAGGTATGAATCGTCGTCTTCCCCCCCCCCAGCTATGGGTAAATAGCAGGACAGACCGGGTTCTATAGCCTTGGATGGCAACTGGTCTACTGCAGAAAGAAATGGTAACCTACTGCGGGAAAAATCTGCCTCGTCAGTCATGTATCGAAAGATAAGTGATCGCCTAAGCGTGTATCACGCATGGCACATAACTGACTGACCCAGGACGCGGATGTAGTTTATCGTCTTACCCAGGATGCGCTCTTACATTAAGCAAGTTTGTTCCCCCCCATTGGTCTATATGATAACTACTCATTCATTCGTGCTTCTAATATTCTCGTTATTATGTTATATAAAAACCTGCTTAACCAAAGAGTCGGCTTTGAATAAAATTTGCAATTGCCATTTGGATTCCAATGCAAACTGGAAGGAGTAAGAGTCTTGGACGCCTTACAAGGAAAACAAAACTTATTAAATATAAAATTCCTCAATCACTTGCGGTGAGACGAGGAGCTTAATTCTGCCAGATCAAGCGTACCGTTGGAATGTCCGTTCGTAGGGTTGGCTGTTTGCATAGAAGATGGAAAATACCAACAAAGAACCTACGACCTCGGGATTTTACTGCCAGCGTCGCATCTATCTGTGCCGAGTCACGTAAATTGTTAGTTTAAAAGGTGGGGTCGGTAATATGCATGTCGCTCTTTACCTTATTAGATAGTGTTCATCGTAGGCCGGAGGCTATTCCACGTGTCTCTGGTATGGTGTGGGAGAGCTGTAACAAATATCTTAACTTTTGTTTACGATGTCATGCCACCATGATGATGGATGATGATATACACACGCACGCACGAAGACTCGCACATACACTCGCACTTGTTTGTGTGCGTCTCTCTCTCTCTCTCTCTCTCTCTCTCTCTATATATATATATATATATATATATATATATATATGTGTGTGTGTGTGTGTGTGTGTGTGTGTGTGTGTAAATTTGAGTAAGTGACTAAACGTCAGGAATTTTGAGAAAGAACTTGCTAGGATCGATAACTTTTCAGCACCTCTTCATATATTGAATTTACTTGTCTTTGATTTTACTTAAAACTTTTGACAAATACTAAATATGAATTTAATAACACCGTGTAAGCAGTTCTTTCACAATATAAATATTCATCGGTCACGCAGCCTGTTCTCCTCTTGTTACTACTGAGATAGTCCATTGTTATAAGAAAATAGGAAGCATTTTTGGACACTATAAGTAAACATGGTTCGTGTTACCATAAGAAAGGATGGTCAGGAGGCTAATAAATTGTTTTTCTTACTTTTGTTTTGTTTTAGTTATTATTGGATATTTTTTTAATTTTAATGTTTTAAGCAAAATTGTTTAGAGTTCATTTTATAGATTAAAATCCTACATTACTCATACAGATAATATAACCAATACAACCACAGAGTTACTTAAATATGACTGTCATGTTCTGTTGGGACAGGTAACGTAGTATTTAAATATTCCAAATTGTACAAGCTTTGCCAGGTCACTTTATGATCCATGGTATTTCATTGGTAAGGAGAAATTTCCGCTCAGGCAGTTTCTTCCCCAGAATTGTCACATTATGGAGCAGACCCCAGAAAGGGTGCTTCCCCGATCATTACAATCTTTTGTTCTAGTGAGAAAAGGGAGAAAAGTCAAACAATCATGTTCTCACCCCAAAAAGAAGAGGTATTGAGCAAAATTTCATGGGAAAATTAGCTCAGGGGGAGGTGTTGTAATGGAATGTCCCACACTCCCTATCGCCTATGTGGACTGACTATATCAGTGGCAATATATGCTGAGCACAGGATATACCTGGGGCTGGCTTCGGGAATTACTAGCCTGCAACCCGATTCCCCGTCTTTCAGTAGTGTATTCTCTTTTACAATAAACATCTCTACTTTCAACTACGCGCGTGTTGCTGTTCATTCACTCGAGTACCACCTTTGTCTGTTTTTAACCTCTTTAAGGATACAACACAATCTTAACCTCTTCAGGTCTAGGGCCACTCGTTATTTATCTATCCTACATATCCTCATAATCCTCATAATATGCACTTCTTAATTCATCCCTAATTCAGTAACCCTCTACCATGAGTGGCTCTTGCGCCTTGTATTAAGCGAATAATAGCTAAGTAAAACTGAAGGTGACTTCTTAAGGAAGATCGAATTTGAACTAACAAATCGATCAGAACCAGTACTTTGAATTCTTTCTAATTCCTGATAATTTAAAGGTTGATATTTTCCATTAATTGCACTTTTTTTTTAAGGTTATCAGTCAAATTACTAGTAATATTAGTCCAATAGTATCAGAATACTAAAACAACTAGAATTAAAAAGATAGAACATAACGATTGACGTTACATTTAAATTTTTCAAGATCAAAGTTGACTAGAAAGCAAGTGGCCAGAAGGGAGTTTCACAAGCGAGAAGTGCGAGAGAAGAAACTGTTAACATAGAACTTACGTTTGATTCTATCCAGCTCAACTCTAAGGTGATGAGACCTTGCCACCAATCTAGTACTCTGCTTAAATTCATAAAGTCTAGGTACCATAGAGGAAAGTTCATCAGAACAATGACCATGAAAGGATTTATAGAAAAGGCAGAGGGAAGCTATGTTACAGCGGTGGAAAAGTGACTGATGCCGAGATGCCAGCTCAGGACCTATAACGTTGCAGATTCTTCTATGTATTTTATCAAAATTATCTAAATACACAGCAGAAGCGCAAGAACATGTGTCAAAAAGTGTGTATATATAAATACACACACACACACACACACACATATATATATATATATATATATATATATATATATATAAATGAGAGAAAGAACAAATGGAGCAAAAATACACAGTTCGTAACATTTATTTTTAAAAAGTGCTCAATACAGAGTAGAGCAAAATATTATTATACTTTTATTATTAGAGATTATAATAAAAACATATTGAATTCGCTACACAGAAACTTTCATGTTTCAATACTATGATTGCACTTCCTCAGGCGATGGTTGGTAACCATCGCCTGAGGAAGTACAATCATAGTATTGAAACATGTTTTTTACTGTAATCTCTTATAATATATATATATAATTGTGTATTTAACAACGATTCCTATTTTATAACGGTTTTATTGAAGATGACAGTAAAGTTTAAGTTTTTGAAATATATATTTTCTTGCATGCATACAAATCATCCTTGCGTTCGAGCGCATTTAAGAAAAAACTATTGTTTCATTTTTATCTCCTGGAGGTCATATTGTCAATATCAAAGAACACGCTTGTTATACGTTGTCGGATGAGGGCAGAGCACGTCATCTGATAACATAAAAAAAAATGTCCAGAATTTAGACATGACTTTTTCTAGTGCACCAGTGAGTGAAGATAAAAGAAAAAATAAAATTAAGAAAGTACTATCTTGCTTCACATTATCAAAGAACATTGCTTCATGTTGTCGAGTGAGGGAAGAGCACGTAATCTGCTTTCATAATTATACAAAGACAAATAGGTATGATAATCCCAAACAAAATGTCAGACCATGCTAACCAACCACAGGGTGAAGGCGAGATAAAACATAAAATGAGAAAATTATATGGTTTCAACGAACACGTCAGTATTACACGTGATCGAATGGAGACAAAGCACGTAATATGGTCACGAATATACGTAAAGTGGTCACGAATATACGTAATATAGTCATGAATATACGTAATGTGGTCACGAATGTACGCAATATGGCCACGAATATGCGTAATGTGGTCACGAATGTACATAATATGGCCACGAATATACGTAATGTGGTCACGAATATACGTAATATGGTCACGAATGTACGTAATATGGCCACGAATATGCATAATATGGTCACGAATATATGTAACGAAAACTAGGAATGATAATGGCAAAAAACTGAATTAAAAAATACCAGATGTGCTAAAGTCAATGAAAGAAATTGATATTAGGGATATACTATTCAACGAATCTCACATGTCATACAGGTATTATCAAAGAGCACGCAAGTGTTACACGTGGCCGAATAAGGGCAAAGCACGTAAGTATACGTCAGGATTAACCATGGAAACATACATAAAGCGTCCAGTAAACATTTTTGGCTAGGACTGTGGAAATAATGAGACGATTTAAAAATAAGGACACCTTATCCCTAGTTCGACTTTGCATTTCTCTCTGCAACTAATATTATGAATAAAAGAAAAAAAAAACATCAGATATCCGAGTTATATTTCGATACCTCTACTACTTAGAGAAAAATAACGAATTTTATTACATTTTCTGTTGTTTCAAATCAGTTACATTACACAATATATATGCACGCGATCTGAAGCCTAAAGAATTCTCACTGTACGGAAGCATTAATTTCAATGTATAATTTCACAACCAAACGAAAATGATGAGGTCATCAAATCTAGTGGAAATAATACATGTCATGTGATGCGGAAAGTTTAGTAATCGAATTACACGTGTCACATTACGGGACTGAGGATAAAATTAATTACGAAGTCCGTCCAGCTATATAATACTAACAAATAAAAATAGCCTACCTAGAGAAATGGCGCCTTAGTCCTCTTCAAAGTATCTCCTTTGTTTGTTTCCCGCTTTCCAGGGCTTACGGCTATATCACGTGGAAATACCGGTTCCCGTACAATCACCGGAGTTAAGCAACATGGAGTCTGGTTAGTACCTAGATGGGTGACCGATTGGTAATACCAGATATGGTAAGCTTAGATGTGCGGGTAGTGTAATGGATAACGGAACAGATTTGTTAATCGGTGAGCCGAGTTCCAATTCCAGTTGGGTTCGTTATATTCCCTTACGCGTGAATACATTTGAGAAACTTATGAATTCACCAAGTCTTCCCCCAGATATGGGTTAATTAGTAATACTTGTATCATTAAATCCTTATTATAAAAAGAAAAAAAAACTTCTTACAATCTAAAAATATTTTCTGGCTTTAAATAAATCGTAAAAAAAAACAATTCAATCAATCTGTCAACTGATTAAATCCACTGGACAGTTGATATTTCTGATTGGTTGACATATAACGTCAAGGTTGCACAACTGATTCTAGGGATATTCAGATGCTTAGAAACGGTCTGGACAAAATTTGGATACAAGTTAATCATATGAATATAACGGACGTAACAATACGAACATCCGATAATGGAAGAATTTTATATCTGTTAAAGAATGTCTGATGATGGCAGTCGTTAATTTTAAAACTTATACGTTTCTGCCTCTAAAGAATTAATGTTTTTTTTTTTCATCCGACAAATTTTATTTTATTACTCGTATTTCAAAGAGATTTTGAAAACAATGCTCATTACATTAACCTGCACATTCGAGAAATCTTAAAGAATAAAATGTGTTCTCCGGCGTGGAATGAGCTTGTATCCCCCTTTGTAGGAGAAACCATTGTTTGATCGAACGTGCTTTACCACTCGGCTACAGAGAGCGACGCAGTTCAGAAAGGCTCCCTGCTGGAGAGCACATTTTCTTTATTAACATTTCTAGGGTGCGCAGACCGATAGACACTGTTTAAAAATAAAAATTGGCTGATATTGTTTCGTGTTGTTTCGCATAATACCACAAGTTTCTACTAAACCAAAACGTTAACTTAAAACCTCCAGTCATGTTCTTTAATAGGCTCGTCACATCAAAATATTCATTTGGATGTCATGTATCGCGCGAAACTCGTTCAAACTGTCAACTGTATACAATGGCTTTCTCAGATCGATGGTTACGGCCGGCTTGGAGCGAATGAAACCTGTAGGTCTTAGCGCGGACTATCCTTTTTCAAAGTTTTAGACAACACAAAGAGCTTTAGCAAATAACAAAAAAACACATCACTAGGGGACATTCAACAGCATCAATAAAATAAAATGGATGTCATATATAACGCAAAGAGAAAATAATGACATAATCAAAATGCTGACTTTCTATACTACCTTAAACAGAAAGTTAGGAAGAAAGTCTCCATCGATACTGGAAAAGGCAATAACAGTTACTGAGAAAACTATATTAATGAACAATTGTTTTACTAGAAAGATTTTAGATACTTCAACTGAAAGTAGTACTAGCTGCTTGGTCAATGAATGTCTAATGTTTCCTTATAAGAAAACGGTTAATATTACTTTTAACTAAGAATTCACACATTATGTTTTATTTTATTTTAAAGCTTAAATTTAAATAAATTTATTATCAATAATTAATAAATGAAAACAGAAAAATAACCTTACTGATGTTTATTGGTCAATGTGTAGAGGATGTTAGGTTTTACACAAAAGTCTAGAAAACTTCTCTTTTTCTGAACCTTAAAAATACCTGCATTATTTGCATTATTCGGACTCTTATCCTCATCTTCATTGCCATATTCACAAAGTTTCGGCCGTTGTACGCTCCGGTGATTGAAATTTCCTCAAAAAACACATGGCCCAGTGGATAAAGGCCTTTTATTAGGAGGTTTTGAGGAGCGTGGAACATTGCTGGTACAACCACCCCGCTGACCCGGGGTGGTAGTACCTGTTAGGATCCTAGCTATGGGCAAATAATTAACCCTCAAACTGGGGTCAAAATGAATGAAAGTATAAAGTTATGTTTTATAATCAAAATACCAGCAATATATTTTCATAGCTAAAACAATTACCAGCAATACATTTTAAAAAATACCAGTAAAAAGAATTACTAAAGCCCCCAAGAAAATTAAATTTCGGCATTAAATGACCCATAAGGATGTTGATGTGTAGTTAAAAAAAAATGAAATCATAAACTTCCTCTTCACCTGCATTGTTTACATTATTCGGACTGTTATCATCATCTTCCTTGACATATTCACAACGTTTCGGCCGTTGTATGCTCCGGCCTTCTTCAGGTGATTCAATTTCGAACCGAACCCTTCATTTCGTCCATCGGAGTAGATTGTTCAAATGGACGAAATAAAGGGTTCGATTCGAAATTCCAATCACCTGAAGAAGGCCGGAGCATACAACGGCCGAAACGTTGTGAATATGGCAATGATGATGAGGATAACAGTCCGAAGAATGTAAATAATACAAGTTTAATCACTATACCCCATCACAGAGATATAGACAGATACTTAAAAAATACATTTACATAGAAAGTATAAATAAATAATAAGTCGACGGTTTTACCTGATGAGCTACAACATTTACCCCAACCAGATTTGTTTTTACGCCTTTTTTTAAAATGTCTGACAAGCTGTTTTAACTTTTCTTTCTTTCTTTCTTTCTTTCTTTCTTTCTTTCTTTCTTTCTACTTTTCCCCTTCTTTTAATGCCCATCCTTTCTTTCTTTACCAACCAACTAACCAACCTATGTTCGTCCGACTTGCGTTTCGGGTCAGCCTGACTCATTGTGGCACCAATTGACGCACTAAGATAGCAGAGGCTCAGACAGACACCTACAAGCTACTCCCCCCACCCAATGAAGACGAAGAATAAGAAAAAAAAGAAAAAAAAACACGAGAGATCCCCAGTGAAATGCCTCTTCTTTGTAAAACTTGCTGTTCTCTTCTCTATCGATAGAAAAACAGAAAAGGAAATACATATTCCTTCGTCTCATGCCCTATAAAGTTTATAACGTTTTCCGCGCCTTTTCTCTTCTTATGCACCATTTTTTCCTCTTGGAACCCGTAAAACATTTTCTTTGTAAAACCACCAAATTCTGACAGTTATGTCATTCTTTCTTTGTTTCTTTTTCTTGATTGTTCTTGACTTTTCCCTTTTTTTTTTATCCTTCTTTCTCCCCTTTTCTCCCCTACTTTTCTCTCTTTCTTTTTTGATTTCTTTCTTTTTCTTCTTTTTCTTTTCTTTTTGTCTTTCCTATCGCTTTTGTTCTTTCTTCTTTTGGTCTTTCTTATCGATCTTTCTACTTTTCTTTTTTTTATTTCTTTCTCTTTCTTTCTTTCTTTCTTTCTTTCTTTTTATTTCATTCTTTTTCTTCTTTTTACTTTCTTTTCGTTCTTTTCTATTTCTTTCTTTCTTCCTTTTTATTTATTTCTCTTTCATTTCCTTTCTTTCTTTTTCTTTTTTTCATTCTTTTTACTTTTCTATTTATTTCTTCCTCCCTTTTTCTCTTCTTTCTTCTTTCTCTTTCTTTTTTCCTCTTTTTTCTTTCTTCTTTGTCTTTTCTTTCTTTTTTCTTCCGTTCGTTTTTTTTCTTTCTTTTTTCTTCCTACTCTTTTTTCCATTTTATCTCAGTTTTCCTTCTTCCTCATTTTCTTTGTCATCTCTCTCTCTCTCTCTCTCTCTCTCTTTGTGTCTCTCGTGTTGTCTTTTCATCTATCGCTTTCTATTTTTTCTATTACAGTGTAACCCGGATATAAGAGAGTTGTCGAGACTGGAGAAGAAGTCTCTTATAGCCGGGTTTGGTCTATTTTGTTTAGGTAAGTATGGGCTCTAATTTGGGACCAGAGAAAATCCTTCTTATATCCGGGTTTCTCTTATATCTGGGTCTATTATATCCGGGTTACACTGTATTTTATTTTCCACTTATCTTTCAATCTATTTTTTGGTGACTGTCATTTCATATTCTTATTTAGAAAGATTTATTTTAAAAGCTTCAATTCAAAATGTGGATGGGCTGAATGTTAACCCTGAAAATCAGCATTCATTATATTCGCCTTTATTTGAACTCAAGCACCCACCAATGGAGCCTGATAGGAACAACCCCTTCAGTCGACCCAGATCCCTTTGTTGATATTTACTGAGCTGAGCTTCCGACAGCTCAAGGCCTGATTGAATAAAATGAAGCGAGAAAAAGTTGTAGTGCCAAACTGGCATATGTTTGCCATGAAAATCGGCATTTCAAAGTTCTGACCTTTATCTTGGCTTGAACACCAACTTCTGGTTAAGAGTGGGGTGTAGTGAAACCAATGCAACCACGAGACAATCGCCATACTTTGTTAAAAAAAAAAGACAAACTTTCTTCTTTCTCTTTAGGTGTTTTCTTTTCTCTCTTCGTATCCCTCTTTCTCTCTCTCACTCTATCTCTCTCTTTCTTACTCTCTCTCTTACTCTATCTCTCTCTTATTCTGTCTTACTCTTACTTTATCTCTTATTCTCTCTCTTACTCTCTCTATTACTCTCTCACTTATTTTCTCTCTCTTACTCTCTCTCTATTACTCTTACTTTCTCTCTCTTATTCTCTCTCTTTTACTCTCTCTCGCTTACTCTTACTTTCTCTCTTATTCTCTCTCTCTCATACCGTCTCTCTTTCTCTCTCTTATTCTCTCTCTTACTCTTTTTTATTCACTCTCTCTTACTCTCTCTGTCGTATTCTCTCTTTCTCTTACTTTTTCTCTCTCTTATTCTTTCTCTCTCACCCTCTCTCTCTTACTCTCTCTCTCTCTCTCTCTCACTCACAACCCTTCCATCTCTCTGTTATAGTTTACAAACTGTCTCCCTCTGTTATGCTCTCAACACCTCCTGCCCAATAAAACCACTGACTGAGACAGCTGCTACTGCAATGAAACATCGCAATATCTGCCTCCAGGAGATTGGCTCGTTTCCAAAATCTTGAACGTCACTCTTCCAGTGACTTTCTCTCTATTTACATATTTGTTTCTTTTATCTTTGTTATTGACAAAATAAAATGGAGGGCAGTTGGGATCAAAAGGAGTAGGGCGTTGCCAAAACCTGTGAACGACATGTTCACATGCGTAGAATGTTAGAAAGATGTTATAAAGGAGAAAAAGATATTTTTCTCGCTTTTTTTCTTCCATTTATTCCCCTCTCCCTGTCCCTCTCGCTCTATCTCTTTCTCTCTTTTATATATATATATATATATATATATATATATATATATATATATATATATATATATGGGAAATTGCTGAAAATTTGTCAGTCGGACCCACTTTTGCAAAATTTGTCACTCAATGACTAAACAATAATGATTTTAGGAAATGGGAGGGCCGAGAGTTTTCACCGCCGTCTCCTTTACACACACACACACACACACACACACACACGCACACACACACACAGGCACACACACACACACACGCACACACACACATGCTCTGAGGGGCCTTATCAAAACGAATTATTTGTTAAACTACCTCAGAGAAGGAAACTCGTCGGCTAAGAGAAGTTTGCCCTTTGTCTTTTTTTTATTCATATTGTCATTTCACCGATGTACTCTATCAGAAAAAAATGGTAAATTTTTCTTGAAGCTTTTATTTTAGTTTTAATTGCAAGCTAAGAAATTAAAGTTAATATTTCCAATAAGCAAAATACTTCTCTGTATTTCAAACCGAACTTAGACTGGATTTATTTTACTGATCATTATTAAAATCGATAATCGTCCATATTAACAAATCTGTCAACACAATATAATCCTATTTATTAAAACATCTTTAAAAAAAATAAAATATTCTTTTCTGAAACGTTATTTGAAAAAATTAACTGATTTTAAGTTTAATTAATCTAATTTGAAAAAAAATACTTATAGTTTAAAATATCACAGAAAAATCATTTTTTAACATGAAGGTGGGAGTTTTTATGAGGTGTTGACAGATTTATCGACAGTCTAATATTTGTGAAATGTGTAAGGAAGAGATAATAGAAATAAAATTACATGAATAACGTCTTTTTTTTTTTACCTGCCCAGTAATTTTAAATATTTTAAGCGTTCTAATATTTTATTGAATTTTTGCTTTAGCTATATAGTCTTACTTACGAAGACGTTTGTTGAAGAAATATTAGAAAATTACTAATAAATTTTAAATTTATTATAGGAATCGCTCTTATTTTCTCATAATGAACATCCGTATTCACAAAAATCGGAACGTTTATAACACTGAAATATTTAAAATTCCTTTTAATATACTGGGTATTGCTGAAATGTAGCAAGCTTTTCAATTTATGATTATTAAATACAGTTTTCATCATTTGACCCTTACAAATTAATAGAGAATTTTAAAAGATTTAAAACTTTATAAATTATTCAAATTAAAATTTAAAAAAAGAAAATAATTCTTGTAAAAATTCATTATTCATCGATTTTTTTAAGACAATAGTATTCATACACCCTTATGCAAATTAACTTAAACAAGCGCTTTAGTTTCCTTTCTTTCACCATAAGGTCTTTTTTAGACCCACTGGATTGACAGGGTGTAATCGATTTCTATTTTTCCTCAGATTTGGTCACTTGCAGTGGTGAATTTATTTTTGGGGTGTATTATGAAATTTGTTTGGCCTTGTAAAATATTGCGTCATCTGTGATTGCATCAAATTTTCATCATGCCCAGACACTATTGTCTCAACTGTCGATTAGTTGTCCTACGGTCATTGTCAGCGATGGACGTTACTAAATGGAAGCGTATGAAAATTGTAACGCTACACGAACACACTGGCAAGCTCTATCAGTGAGCAAATCAAAGTATTATAGACAGGCCCAGAAATCCTTCTGATTTAAATCCAATGGAGAATTTTTGGTCGATCTGCAAGGAACGACTTCATGAAGTGGCCATACGAAGTACTAACATACTGCACTGGATCATGTTTCATTGAATAATAAAAACAGAAAGTAAATAATAACGGAATTATTCGTTTTGTTTCAATTAATTTGTACAAATATGTAATATATTTTATTCATAAAAGAAATTAACAACATTTTTAAAATAATAATGTTTTTATTTTATTATTCAGATGAAATTTTCTGAAATTGGTGTTCATATTTGTGACTGAAAAATTTGATGATTTAAATTCTCCGAGGACTTGTTCTTATATAAAATATAAATATTAAGTAGCGCTAAAAAGAATTTCTCGAAATTTTATAAAATTAAATAAGTAGAGAAGCGTAACAGATTTTCATACATTTGTAAATCAATCAAGAAAGTTTCATTAAAATCCGGCAATTCTGATTTTTGCAAGCATTTCCAAATCAAAATGTTTTTCACCGCAAAAAGACATTAAAATTTCCCGAACAAATTTATGGTCCTCCGCTGACGCAAAAGAAACAAGATTTTTAACCAAAATTTCGAAAGTTCTAAAAAGCATTTAAAAATAATTTTACATTAAAAATTCCTTTGGTCTTTTCTCTTAATAATAACAGAAAGATTTTGAGGATAATATTTCGTTTTTATTAATTTGGTGTCATTTTTTCATCATGGTATGTTCTTTTTTAGCGAATCTAGTGGATTAATAACTTCGCAAGTTGACACGTACATATTATCTGAAATGCCTGAATTTTGATCTAAAATTACCTCTGTATAATGTTCGAGCGATGTATTTAATATCCATTAGTGAATAAAGTGCATTATGACAGAAGGGGTTTATGATGAAAAACATAAAAGATTTTTTCTTTGTTTATATGCAGTCTTATTGCTGTAAACTCATATCCGCAACATATATATATATGTGTGTGTGTGTGCGTGTGCGTGTGTGTGTGTGGCAAATGTGGCAAAACGCACACACATAATATATAGAGAGATAGTTAGATAGAGATAGATAGATAGATATAATTTAACATCGTTTGACACATTGTTACATTTATGTGGCACTTAGTGTGAATCAAATTCGCGAAACAGTAGCAATGTATTGCTAGGCGAACTGATTCCTCTATTTCCCTTTCTTTGTATGTTTATCAGTCTCTGTGATTCCTTTCTCTCTCTCTCTCTCTCTCTCTCTCTCTCTCTCTCTCTCACACACACACACACACACGCACACACACACACACACACACACGCACACGCAAACTCGCACAAACCCCCACGCATAAAACATCAACACAAAATACATTTGAAATTACGTTTAGCTGAGTGAAGGACAAAGATAGATTTTTTGCCACATCAAATGAGAACTGAATTTATTATTAGCTATACCCAAATAGAAACTTTCTCTTACAAGTGCAGATTATTAGTAGTGCAACAGGAAGCCTGCAAAAAATGATGGAAGCCAGTTAAAATAATAAAGGTGTCAGGGAAAAAGCGCCATTTAGATTCTTTCGTGGGCACGAATGCCTAAGGTTGACCTTTTCACTTTATGTAAGCGAAAAAATTAGTCCGAGTAGGCGCAATGATTCACTGAGTGAAGGCAGAAAGTGTTCTCTCAGACAATTAATAGTGAGCAGTTTCGTTCTGGAGTCGATAAAATTAACACGCCATCCCTTGCCCCAGTTAACAACAGAGTGCATGCCATTTTTTAGATAAGCTGCCAATTTGACCTTATCGAACCGATCAGACTTATTAAGGCAGGAGTAAATAGTTTAAATATCGAGTTGAGAACATGCCATCAGGAAGGTCATTGATGAAAATTAGGAACAATGTTGGTGGGGCCTTCTGCATTAATACAAAAAGATCTAGAAGAGTAGCCATTCAAGATAACTTTCATTTCACGATTTAATAAGAAAGCCTGAATCAGGTCAAAAATTCTTTCAGATATACTATAACCATTCAACTACACAGTGACGCATTCATGCGATACCACTGGGCGGAGAAATAGGTTATGGGCCTCCTCCCATCATTTGCACTTTTATACCCAATAAAGAATAATGGTATAGTAAGATTTTTGTAACCCCCGAACGTTATGTGGCCATATAAAAGGACTAGTGCTGGTGTAAAATATATTCCAAAAATACGCATTAAAACCAATCCTGTCTAAATCTAACTCCGTTCGTCGACAGCTGCCAATCCTCTCTGTGGTTCTACTCAACTCATCACGTCACACATGAATAAATATCCGTTTATTTTAAACAGTATTTATTTTGTCAACCAGCCTGCGTACTCGAGAAAATTTAATAAACAGAGACGTGGCCTATATCCCCCGCCAGGTTTCGAACCTGCGACCTCTTTTCCAGAAATAACCACCGTCTTATCCGCATTTGACAGCTCGACTGCAAAGAACTTCACAATGAAGCAAGGTTCTATTTTGCCTTTAAAGCACAGTTACTCCTTCAAATTCAGTTTCACGCCTTAATGTGATCTTCAAACTGAGTGCCTCTTCTGGCTTAGAAGGTTATTTATATTGGTCACTGGGGGATTAAGGGAAGTGAGGGTGACGAAACACTTCCTGGTTTATTTATTTATGGCTGTTGCTTAAATTTATTCACGGCCATGACCTCTAGGTTACTTATAAATGTTTGAAAGCTCGTACGACCCCGACATTGTAAAATAATATCCACACTGATGAGCTGTGATACAACGAAACAGTCTGTCTGTGGATGACAATATATGCTCCTGAAAAATGTATTTCGGTTGAGCTCTCTGGGGAGGAAGTGTGGGTTTGTAAACAGTGACTATTACAGGTAATAATGCAAGACTCTTCGGTAAATCGAATCGAGTCCTCTCACTTACTGTGTGTTTATCTAAAAATAAATACGCTAAAAATTCACCTTCGTCCCTGCCGTGCGCCAACGGCTTAGTGGTGGAATCCCCAACTGACGCCAATTCAGTCGGGTTTCGATCCTAGCTAGAGGCAACCGTACGTCTAGCCACACTGATGAGCTGTGATACAATGAAACATTCTTTCTGTGGATGACTATATATATATATATATACATATATATATATATATATA